TCTTATTATTTTTCATTTTTTTTTTTTTTTTTGTATTTATTATTAATTCATTTCTATTTTGAAATAAATTAATAATATTATACTACTACTACTACAAAAAGAAAAAGAAGATAATATAAAGGAGCAATATATTTTAAATATTTTCATAAATTTGAAATATTAAACTATCAAAACGAAGAATAAGAATCACATGGTTGTAATAGTTCAAAGGTTTAAATAAAATACAATTAATATCGATGAAATTGTTTTAAAATCTGTTGCTCGTAAATATATATATGTATATATATATATACTGGAGCTATGAATATAACTGTTTATTAATAACATCTCCGTCTATTAAATAGACTATTATTTTATAGGTCATGATAAACATTCCAACTCGCGATCAAATAGTAGCAGCGTGCGAGATGGTAAATCATCGCGGCAATCGGACAAGCGGGAATATTGGACTTCATGTAGTGGAAGTAGCGGTAACACTAGAGAAGAAGTTTCTACGCGTGATAGGGAAAGAGAAAAGGAACGAGAGAGAGAACGTGAGAGAGAACGAGAAAGAGAAAGGGAAAGGGAAAGAGAAAGAGAGAGAGAACGAGAAAGGGAAAGGGAAAGAGATTCTTGTAGGGAAGAAACAGGAGCAGAACGTCAAGCCCAAGATATGGATATTTCACCTGGTGATTCTACACCTACTTCTGAACCTTTAACATCCTGTGCTCACGATCCACTGCCGCAAGGTCCTGTTCTACTGGCCACTGGTATATTTTCAAATGATTATTATATAGTACAATTTATAGAGAATACCATTTGGATTTTTCATGATTTTTTTGTTGTTGTTGTCTATTTTTAGCATTACCTCGATTAGCATCTCATCCACCATCGACACCACAACCACCTGGAAAATTAAGTTCACCAACCCAACAACAAGGGAATAGTAATGCCCCAGGACCACCAGTTTCATTAGCAAGCTTACCAAGACTTCTTTCTCAAATCACTGGCAGTAAAGAACAACCTGACATTACACCACAGAAAGCGTTACAGACAATTCAAACAGCTATCTTGTTATCTAGACAAGTAAGTTTTTGTGTATATATATATAATAATTATTTTAAAATACGATTAAAGAACAAGAAAACATTGTCAGTATGTTTATTTTGTACATTTGTAGCAATCAGCAAGTGGAGACCGAAATAATAGTGGCAATGATGTAATGGTCCCATTAAAAGTTGATACTAGTGGCAATACTACCAGTGAGGGACCACCTACTCCAACTCATTCAGAAACTCAGGATTGTATCGATGCTCGCAAATGTAAGTCTCCAAATGAACTCTTTTCTGTTGTAATTAATTGTAATTGTAATTATATTCGTTTGCTTGCACAATGAGTTAACGCACGTTCAATGAATTATTACTTGAAAATCTTATTCTATGGATTAAAAGTCCTGAATTCATCTTCTATTTATATTTCATATGCACAATGTGTATGTGCAGTACAATAATATGAACTTATATAAAACAGAGTTCACTTTCTAAACCACAATCATACGCTTGTGCCACAAGTATCCCAGAGACTTCTTTAACAATGCGAAATTTTCAAATATTGTTTTATGAATTTAACTAATAATATCGCTTTCAAACAAACATCTGATGATAGATGCACAATTATATTTATTTATTTATTTATATTATTACTACTCATTTACAGTAACCAGTCCTGGAGGAACGAATTCTGGGGTGCAAGGTCTAAGCTCATTGCAAAGTCTTAGTACATTAGGTTCTCTTGGCAATTTGAGTAATACTGGAGGTTTACAAGCATTGTCTAGAGTACAACCTCCTTTAACACCTTCCTTAACACCATCGCTCGCTAATCATTATCGAGAAGATTTAACACAACATGTGCGTGCCTTTCCAGCCGATATCCTTGAAAAACAGGTAATTTATGTTAAATCATTTTTTTTTTTTTTATACTATATAATTTGAATATTGAAGTTGTTTTTAAAAATATTACATAATTTATATATTACTGCTAATTAAAATGAGTGTTGTATAGAGAATAAGATAAATCAGTTTAGAATAATTTATGTTATTTTCTTTTAGGCACAAAAACTTAGCGAGGAAGCACATACAATGGGCAGTTTACAATGCACAAGAGTATCTGCAGAATTGAAAACAGCACGATCGATAGTGAGGCTGACAGAAATTCAGGCAACACTACAGGAACAAAGGTAAATAGTCTTTTTTTTTAAGTATTTGATTTTTTTGTTTTTTTTGTTTAAACGTTATCTTCGAAATGTTTCTTTTCGTTTGCATCTATTCACCGATAAGAAATTCGTCGAAATGTTCATAAAATATATGAACAAAATTAAGTCAATCTTTAACACATTTCAGGATATTATTCCTCCGTCAACAAATTCAAACATTGGAGGAACTAAAATCCCAAAATTCCTTCATGTCTGATGATTCTTAGTGTAAGAAACTTTATAAAAAATAATTATAATTACAACAACCTATAATTAATTCATGAAAACAAAAACAAAAAAAAAAAACAAAAAAGCAAAAATAAAACATAATTATTAATATTCTCATTAATATTGAATAATTAAGATTGTACCTAAATTATAATATCGTGATAGAAGTGATATAATAGCAAATGAATATGGGCTGCCTAGAGAGGTGGTCAAGCTGTTTCAATATCAGCTGACGAGTCTTATTAATTAATTAGTAAAATCCACCTCTCTAGGAAGCACAAGAGGCCTATCCAACACACACACACACACAGATGATGCAACACTGAGTAAATAGAAAAATGAATAAACTCTATCGGTTTAAAATGCAAACCATTTAAATTGTATATCTGAATTGTCCACAGCATCTTGTATTTACTACCTATGTTATTATAATACGTGTCAATGTTTCTCATATCCCACGATTATGCGACATTTTAACTAGTTGACAAATTTTTGTTGTAAATCTCGGAATAAAATTCGTGCCACAAGTTTTAATCCAGTTCTTTATCACCATTAACTCAACCTAAAATAACCCAATACATTTTCATCTGGTGAAAATGTATAATAATTAGTAGTTCAATCAAATTGAAGAAAAATTTGTGGACGCAATTAATTAATTGACTTATTATTTATAGCGCTGTTCTTTTTTTTTTCTTTTTTTTTTTTTTCTTTTGCTATTTGATATTTAACAAAGAATGTTATTATTACCATAGAAATATGAGTATTAGAGACATTATTAGCATTTTTATATCATGCATAATTGATGGCTATTGCTGATTTTAAAGAAATTTAAATATGTTTAAAGTATAAAGAGAAAAGCAATGAATATTAAAGATTATTAAGATTTAATTGTGTGTATCTTAATAATATGATCCCATATTATTTATATTTAATTATTATGTAAACATATAAGGATTGTATAGCTATATATATATTGGTAGATTCTTTTAAACAATCATTAATGATAGAATATATATATATATATATATATACATATATATATCATCAATTACCATTGATGATCGTCTTCAATTTATTATGTATGAATCTGTTTTCATCTTTTGTAATAAAAAAAAAAGAAGAGAGACTTATTGTATAGAATGAAAAAAAAACAAAACACACACATACAAGTGTAATCACCGACAAATTAAACATATCGACGACGATGGATGTATCTTATAATTTTAGATAATTTTTATTTCACATAGTCATTGTATATCATCTCTACGTATAATAACAAAATGAACTTCTAAGTAGCTTTCTTATGTCCTTCTTTCCGTAAGAATGCATATGTTTTATAAATGTAGAATTAATGATAAATAATATAATCATTAGTAACACAGTAATTAATTGCAAATTGCATTTAATATTTATTAAACAAATGTTCTCGAATAATAATGCTTTAAAGAAAATATTATTAATTAGAATTTAGTTTTTCCTGTTAATGTATTCTTTAGTATATTTGTAACAAATGATGAAAAAGGCCCCGTTTTGTAAATGAAATATTATTGAAAGGAAAATAATCTTTGTCTTTGTTTGTTGTATTGTATTATATTATATTAATCAAGCTCCTGCTACTGCTGCTGCTGCTTTTCTATGTAATAAAAAAACAAACTTATTAAAAATAAATAATATACAAAAAAAGAAAAAAACAAAAAAAACATTCAGGATGGTGGAAAATACGAATTTGTATAAGTCACAGTATCAATTTCTCACTTTATGTATTTCAATAAGGAACTGTCAATGAGTGAGCCTGTTACTTATAGAAATAAAGAAACAAATTAGAAAAAACAAAAAAAACAAAAAAAATAATAATAATTATAACATAAAGAGACATTCTTAAATTGACATATATGTTATTATATAAACATCAGTGGTTGCAATCAAATTTTCAATTATTTTTCAATTCTTTCACAGAATTATGTGAGCCAAAGTATTTCAATATAAAGCGCATTTTTTAAATTACTCTTTTCTTATATAAAAAATTATAAAATAAAAGTCCCACTGTGATAAGAACAATTACATATACATACATACATACATACATACATACATACATAAATGCATATATATGTATATATATGCATTGGTGCGCAATATCAAAATTCTTTGATTCACACTTCTTACAAAGAATGGACTTCTAGACAAAAAAAAAAAGAAAAAAAAAACAACGCTAAACACTTAGAAATAAAATAAAATTGTCAACAGAAAATAAACAACATTATTGTTTTCAATTACTTTTTTCATCATCATATATCCTAATATCGTATGAGAGAGAGAGAGAGAGAGAGAGAGATACAATTATTATAGATTACAGTGGAGGATATTATTAAGAATGGTAATGGTAATTATGTGTTAATGTAGAGTTATACTCTACTAAAGGGTGTTTCTCAACACAAGCTCAATAGTCTTTGACCATCGCAATTATTATTATTATTATTATTTTATTAAGGCAATGTCACCTTTATTTTATTTAAATAAAGGATAAAAGAACGAGCTATTGAGATAGTTGAGACTGATATAATAATCCTGTTCTGTGCTTCTGGTCCACAAAAGATCCAATATCTTTTTCATATAGTTCGAACGTTATTATTATTATTATTATTATTATTATCATCATCATCATCATCATTGTTACTATGATTATCATTATCTTTCATTTCTTATATTCTATTTTAATTATTTTGCGAAATTAACGTCGTATATATATATGTATATATATATATATACCGAGATTTAATTATCTATAATTAAAAATGTGAAATATATTTCGATTGTTTATGATAGAGAGAGAGAAAAAAAAAACAAAAAACAAACAAATTCTAAAGAAGAATAATCCTTTGGCTCGGAAATCTGTTTACTTTTTTAATTTGTTCCTTGTGATATGTTCTATAATTTTTGTATTAGTCAAAAACGAAAAAACATGAAGTTACTATTTTAAAGAAATGATCGATAATTTGTCATATTTTGTAAAAAATATGATACTCAAGTAATTGTTTTTTCTATAAATATATATATATATATATAAACTCCCTTTGAATCTAATATTCTTCTTTAGATTATTTTTTTTCTTTTTTCTTTTTTTTTTGTAATCAGCAATCAAAATATATTTTCAAATTTCAATTATAGATGATTTATTCGGTATATTCGGTTATATATATCATGACGCAGCATTTTGTTTTCATTCATCAAAGGAAGAAATTGGTTATTACTTTGAAGATGACATATATATTACATTTGTAATGTATTAATAACATTGGAAATGAACCATTCATCAACCATTATTTTTGTAAGCGTATTTTTTTTTTCTTCTTTTTTTTTCAAGAGCTCCGTTTTGTGCGAATTAAAACGACTTTTTACATTTTGCACATTAATAACAACTACAATTATTAATTTTCAAAAATTCATTTGGTTGAGAAACACCAACTTGTTTCATTATATATCATCTAACATTATATACCATGTCATGAGCATGTAATATTACATCCTCATAGCACCTGAAGCAAACAGTGAACATTCTCCCACATGTATATTTTATTTAATTATAGTCAGTCATTGGATTTATTTCATAACAAACTCTCTCATTCGTGAACATTGAATTCATTGGTTAATATATGATTTTATCAGTAGAATCCTAACAGACATTCATGTGAATTCGGTACAGTACATAATTTAATGGACTAAGATTGTAATAAGGCCTCAGAACATGTAATTTATTGTAACATCTCATAACTTACAGAACACTACTATTATGCTAAAAAAAATTAACATTTTAGTATAATTAATATAATTAATTGTATTGTGAACTTTTAATAAGTATAAAAAGAGAAATGGATAAAACAACAATTTATAAACAATTTTAAATACTAGTTTCTTTTTTTTTTTGTTTTTTTTTTTTTAAGTAATTATTAATAATAATTATAATTATAATTATCTGTAAATCATTAAAATATTTACAATCAAATGTATTTTCCTATAACACCCTTAATACCGTATATTTTATATATTAACTATAATAAGTGATCATCCTATTAGTCATGAGTTGTTACATATATTTACTGTTCAACCATTTTAATTGTAGTGCTCTTGAAATGTTTTATACAAAAACATATTTCAATGGAGAGTACAAAGTGCTACAAAACAATTCCAATATGATTTCACTTTATAATCGTTAATATATCTATTTCATAGACTCGTTATGTATTTTTAAGGCCATATACGAGTATTAATACAAATATGTCTGTCTCTTTTGAACAGTATTTCAATATATTTTATTAATTTCGAAATTTGTCTAATAATAGACAAATAGAGTACACAGCCTCGACAGAGAATGTTCACGGTATAAGACAGCAGCATAGATATAGCTCAGCGCATCAGCTCACTTTACCATTGCTAATCATGTTTTTGTATTATAATGGTTTAAATCAAATTTTTGTTTGTTTGTTTAGTTATAAGTAGATACGCGCATACATATATATATATATATATATATATATATACGTATGAATTTATACATATACACATAAGGTATATTTTATTCATACAATAATCCTTTGTGTCTTCTTATAATTCTTATATGCATAGAGCACATCTAAATCTAACAGCATTGTCTATTGTACAGAGTAAGTATAGAAATACCTAGCATTGATTGGATAATTTGTTGTTTGTTCAAAGATAATAAATGTGCATCTCAGTGTCGTAAAAATAATCAAATCAAATAATTCATTTGTGTGTATCTGCATTTAATCATTTGCAGTTATTACGATATTATTTACTTATAATATAAAGAAATATATATATATAAGGAGAATGATGACACTGATTTGAATAATTTTTCAAAGTAAATAAACATTTGCACAAAAATTATTATATCCATGGGTTGTTATCTTTTCTTATGAAATATATATATATA